CCCAATCAATGGAAACCACGACCAGCAAACAATGACCAGCACCCAGGACGCCCGAGAAAATCGACAAGCGGTGCACACCACGGCCCCCAAACCACGAATGACCCCATGAGCCAGCTGGGCCACATTGCAGTCAGTGACGTGGCAACTACGCAACACAGACAGATGACGACGACATTGTCGTCAGTATATATTGGGTATGGTAAGTCTCTCCACCTCTGTGACCACCCATGTAACTAACACAACACCACAGCCGTCAACTGCCCACTGGCGATTGAAGGACAGCACCCCCCACATCACCATGCCACCCCTCCCCAAAGGAAGGGGCATGCCGCCCATCAGTGGCCACCTCATGACACGAAACAACCCCAGGCAGGACAGACCCCAATCAACAGCGTCAAAAGACATATGATGATGACATTGACAAGGGTGTACAAACGACGGACGACCATGAGAGTGAACAGACAACAGACAACCACGAGAGTGAACAGACGACGGACAACAACAAGGGCATACAAACCACAGACAACCACGAGAGCGAACAGATGACGATGACGAGGAGGGTGTACAAATGACTGACAACAACAATGACAAGGGACTACAAACGACACACGGCGATGACAAAGACGCGATGAGCGCCCACCACCCACACACGACGACGAGGTTCCAATACCCCACCCCCACCTTCACCCCCCCTCTCTCTCACTGCCCACCAACCCCCTCCCCTCCTTCACTAACCACTTCCTCCCCTTTACTGCCCAGCCGCAGGCCAATCTACTCCGTAAGCATTTAATTCTTTTTTTTTCTATTTGAACTCAATGAGTTGTTTACCAATCTTTGTTAGGACTTCGAGGGCTAGTTCTGTAAAGGCTGCAGCTGAAAAGGCAGCCGCAGATCATCTTACTAAGTTAGTATATTTATTACATTTAAATTTTGATCACCTATTAATTTGATGCAGAACTCAGAAGATTTTACTTGATAGTGGAGCAACTATAGCTCCACCTCCTAGGCCTGTCGAAGAGGCTACCACCAATGAGTAAGAACATTTTATCAAATTATATTTTTTGAGATTTACCAATTTACTTTTTCAGGCTTCAGACTATCATCGAAAAGCAAGCACCAGCTGCAGTAAAGACTCCTCGTCAGCGTGTAACTGAAGTTCCAGAGGGAGAGATGTCTGCTGAAGAGGGTATGACAGATGACGAGGTGAAGGACAAAGGAAAGGGAAGAGACATGGCAAATATGGAGAAGTGAGT